CTATGAAGAAATCTCAAACCTATCAACTTTAAACGAATCAACAAGTGACGATGATAATGAAAATTAAAATTAAAAAGATTTTATCTGAATAACTTAAACCAAAATACTTTTCTACACTAAAATAAAAACATTAAATTTTGATAGTCAATAAATCAAAATTCTTAATAAAATAATTGAGTATAAAAATTAGTCAATAGTTTTATTTTAATTTTCCAAAAGTTGGGTATTGAGGAATATTATTTTTTTTCCAAAATCAGCTGCTCATATAGATGATGTTAAACAAAATTTTTTCATTCCATTATAGTTTTTATGTGGCATCCAAAAATTTTTTACAATTAATTAGTTTATCTGAATTAAATTTTTTTGGTGTTTAATAACTGTACCTATAAGTACCATTATATAGATATATCAAATATGCTTAATACTTTTGTTGTTTTTTTTTTTTTTATTGATCTTATTTAACATCGACAGAGCAATGGTCATTAGTTACAATTTGTTATACAATATGTTTAAATATTTTGTTGGCTAGATTATTTATACTATATTAAATTGTATTATTTGACTTTTTTTAAGAATTTCAAAATTTGATTAATATAATGTTTACGTTCGATCTGAGTGATGCGTTTGCGGCATTGCGGATGTTAAAGTTGTTGAATTTTCATCTTTGTATTGGATGCATTCTGTAAATATGTGGTTGACGGATAATTCAGTTTCTCAAGAATTGCACATTATTAGTTTTTCTTTTTTTGCCATCATGAGGTGTCTGTGCGTTAATCGAGTATGCCCGTGCGACGATGCGAGGTCTGTTTATAATTACGTTTTCTCTTCTATTCGAAAGGAGGTTTGGCTAACCAAAGATGGTGTTTTTAATTTTTCTTAATTTTGTGGTTTTTTCAAGCTACTGTGTTTGTCATTTGATTTGGACGAGTTCTTTGATTTGATTTTTATATCTGCAAAAGTTGTTTTATAATACACTTAATATTATGTTGAATAAAATAATATTAAGATGATCGATTTGAAAAAAATCTCTATTTTTAATATTTGATAAAATTATGAACGTTTAATAAAATTAATTTTAGATACTCAAAATATTATACACAAAACAAAAAAACTGATTAAAACCTATATTAATACCATAATCCAAATCCCTCACGTAGGTTATTTGCCTTAGTTTAAACGCCGAGGCAAAAAAAAAATATTAGCAACGAAATTAATATTTATAATTTTACGTTTGATATTGTAACAAAAGTGTTTGTCTTATTATACTTACGCTTCTAAAATATAATGCATTTTTGATGTCTATAAATATCTATAGTTAGGTTAAATTCGATTACTGAAAATTGTTTGATTGCAATAGTTTATACTATACACTTATAGCTTATTGATATAAAAATATGATGTGTTTTTAGTTTTTGTTTTTATTTATTTTGATGTTATCCTATTCAATGTAATATGACCTAATAATGACAGTTTGACTTCAAATTTCTATTATAATATTGACATTAGGGGAGAATGTATTGTTTACCTAATGGCTATTAAGTAATAATGTTTCTTTTTTATCAATGATAATAATAAATAATCATTAAATTAATAACATTGTTCAGTTACGGAAATTATATTTAGATTAAGTCAATTAATATCATTAAATAAATATTTTGAAATCATTAAAAAGTATTTGTAGGTACAATATATTACATTTTATTTATTAATTTATTACTGATTTATGTACGATTTTTTTTCGTCATTATATACCTACCTGCGAGTTTTTGCTATTTGGATTTTAATACTTTTTGTTTTTATATTTTAATTTTGTCTATTACCTTAGATTAATTATACTAATATATTAGTATATTAATATTTTAATTATTATAATTTATTTAATATATACTATTACTAACTATAACCTACTGTTTTATATATTGAGGGGGAAGTAAAACTTCATCTTTTTCATACTTTATAGATTTTTAGTTTTGCCACAGTCTGCCCTTCTCCCCTTCAAGAATTAACTCCAGATTATGCCTATGATTGACATCAAACGAAAACAAATATATGATATAGGACCACTTTTAATATAAAATTTAGTTAAAAAGTAAACATAATATTAAATACTATATACAAATTTAACTTTTACCACATGACGAAAGTTTCTCTCATGTATGGTTTTGTTTTGAATTTGTACGTATTCGTAATCGTTGACCAAAATGAAAGTCGAATATAACATTTTTATATTATTTCTCGCCTTTACACACATGACTTTTTTAATTAAATATAATTTTCAAATTTATTCATTTCTAAAATTAATAGTAATTATTAGGGTTAGAATTTATATGCAACAGTATATTTTTTTTTTTTTGCAACTTCTGATTATTGCTTTTTTAAATAATATTCACGAATCATCTCAAGATGAAATCAACAGTCGTGATTTTATTTTGAATATTTAGGACAAAATGCATATTTTGAATAAAATTAATATTATTGCATATTTCAACTATAAAAACGCGAAAAATGCATATTTTATGTAATATGTTTAAATAACGTTAATAATTAAGAATATTATTAAATTAATTTTAAAATGTATGATCTTTTTTTTAAGTGTATATTTCATATTTTTATGCGTATATAATATTAATTGCATATTTTTAATAAACCAAATACATATTTTACAATTTTTTATTGCATATAAATCCTAGCTCTAGTGATTATTATTATATAGCTTTGATTATGAATTATTTTTTTATCAAATGGTCGATATTATAGTTTATTATTTGATTGGTTGTTTAGCACGAACCTTGTATATTATTTCATTACAATCTTGGCAAATGTTAACCAAGACGTGGCTGTCGCATCTGAGACCGGAAGATGATGGGGGTGGTGAAGGTTGTTTTCTGTTTCCATAATGTGCACGTACATAAACAGATGTCATTTAAACTCGCTACGGCAATACACTACGAGTCACCGGTATGTATGTATATTATACTAAACCGTTATAATCGTTCCGGAAATTGCAAAATTCATCATCTGAAGATGCAGCCGCACGTTTGTAGGGCTCTATACTTATTTTGTGACGTACAGATATATATAAGTAGTTCCGTTCAGCATTAACGTGTGATATACAGAGTGAAAATAGTATTCACCAGAGGATCACAGAAAATACGGTACAGAAAATTATTAAACATCTGAACGAATAAACTGTAAATTTAAATGTTTTGAGATTTTCCGATAGCATATTTTTTTATGTTTATTATTTATATACAAAAATTCTTTGCATTAATAGCATTAAAATAAATTGTGGCGTGAACGAAAGAAGAACAATAAAGCTCACTTTAAAGGACTTATGCATAGTTTTTTTGCCAAAATACGAGTTTCCAAATAGTCTACGTTACATACATATTATTCATAGCATACATATTCTTAGTATAAATATCCTTGATATTACAGTTTTTCGTATATTGTAAAATATTTTATATATTTTGTGCATAGGTATTTAATTTTGTGTGCCATAATTTTGATGAAAGTATAAATATTTTGTTTTTAAATGAACACATTCATGACCATTTCGTCTGTATATTAATCTAGTTTGGCGAAAAAAGGTACTCTCACATAACATTATCTTGGAATTAATGTAATAAGAACAAATTAGTGAGTGTTGTGTAGAAATGCCCAAAACTAACTAATCAATTTTCATTGATGAATTCATTCATTGGAAAAAGTATTGTTATAAACAAGAATAATAGTAAATATAAATGCGTACGGAAATTTTTCAACGCTGAATCTGATTTAAAATATAAAAAAAAAAGAAAAAGAAAACCACATCAGTTTCTTTCTCTTTAACTCGTTTCAAGCTTTAAGGTCATTTTCAGTGTACACATACACACTTCTTATTTGGACACACCGATGTCTTTTTAACCACAATAGTCTATTGTAAAGTATCTACTCCGTAGTTGTCAATTGTTTATTTTTCAATTTTTCTCGCCTAATTGCACAATTTATTATTTTAACATTAAACAGATTAATTTTATGTAGCTAAAAATATACTCTTCGTTTACGGGCGTGTATCTATTATTATAATATTGCATTTATATCTGTCCGTTAGTCGTTTAAATATGTCAAAATATAGTAAATGCAATTTATTTTTTTATTCCAGCTAATCTTATATAATAATTATAATATATTATGAGTAAGTACGAATATTATATCGCGGGAATAATTTGTGTGATGGTTTTGTTTCACCAGAACGAGTTACATTACTTCGTACACCAGTATTAAAATTGCCTATACAAGACACCAGATTCATACAAGGACAATATTATAATATTTTATTTTAGTTTATAAATAACACAAATCACTGCAATTTATCACGCTGATGAAAACATTTTGTACTATGTCGTTGGACGTATTTTACTGGTGATGCTTTTAATTCTCGTCACGCTGAGTAAAAACAATAATAACTTTAAAATAAAACGAAAAAAATAGAAGCAATTTTTTAAAACAGTTTTATATTTATTACTATAACATACCTACTGTTTGTTATTGATCTACAAGTTTAATATAACATTGCAAGGTTCGAAAAAAAATGTTATATATTCATGTAGACGGTATGTCCCACGAGGATTTACTAGAATATTTTAAGGCGGCGTTTGGTTAATGGAATTTGGATCATTCACTCTGTCCCATGCCGCCTAAATATAGTAAATATTAGCAGTACAGCAACAATAAACAAAAATATTTTCTTCCTGAAGGCTGTTTCTGTAGATACTGAACAACAGTCAAATGTATGTTGTTTAACTATATTGGTATTTTGAAAACAGAACACAATAATATGGTATACATAATATATATTTTATAATAATGTTATAATATTATAATATATTCTATTAATACAACAAGGTTAACCTATATATAATAATATGATACTATATGCGAGATTTTGAAATGGATAAGATAATGAATAATATAAGATTTATCTACTAGAAAGTTTACACTATAATATAATAATATAACGTTATAAGAGAGTATAGTCAAACGACGCGTATTAAAAGAAAGTTGTATTACTATAATATTACGGTTTAGTATAGGTATTTATTCTACTTTTGATAACATTATGATAATATATTTTTGTTTATTTGTATTTGATTCTAAAATCATATCACTGCCGTTTTTATATTGAAAACGGTAAAATAAATATGTATATTATTGTCAATAATAATACGCAATATATAAATATATATATATAATAAATATTTAATAAATTATGTATACTATACAAACAGAATGGGTAGGTACTAGGTACTCGTACTATGCGACAAACACATTTATACACACATTGTTTTACGTTAGTTGTAGATCGAGTTTTTAAACTACTTGTGGACATTATAGAGTGACGTTTAAAATCTAAAAAATTCATAAAATGTTTAATCATATTATTCAAGTATGTCATAAACATAACTCGCCTCAGTTTACTAATAAACAAATAATGCATTTTCGGAGCATATGAACTCTCGCTCAAAGTGGAAAAAAGACGGCTAAGCCCAACTACCGCGTGGCATAAAGTTGAACCAGCTGTATGTTATGACTTATGTAATAACTAATAACGGTGTAATAATAAATCGTAAGCGAAATTTATTCAAATTATATTTCTTCAATGGTATAATTCTACTATATTCTGAGATCGTCTGAAATTTTTGATTCAGACGATTCAATTTCTCGCACGTTGTCGAAAACGCATATTAACGCTCAGTAAACTTATTAAAGTTTTTATGAATTTTACTATTATTATTGTAGTATTGTTGGGAATACGACGTCGATACATATTTTAAAAACTCAAACGTTATTTTAGAGATCCAAAATAATAATAATAATAATAATAAAGAATAATTGTGACTACTTCACGTATCGTCGTATGAGATATATATTATAACGTTATATGTCGGCGGGATGTTGTGTGAGTGACGAAACACGAATCTACTAGGTTCGCTGAGTTTCATTCCTGGACACACAAGTCGGTATGGAGTTTGACCATTTTCCATATTTGAGGCATCGTAGCACAGAAGCGCCTTTGATTTTCAAGTTCTCATCACAGCTGAAGGTGATCACGTCACCGATGGCGTAATAAAACTTGACAGTGGACATCCGACCTCGGATAACTGTGCCTGGGTACGGGCAAGCTTGAACACCTGAAAAAACGAATCACAAGACAATACAGACGGTCGGTTCGGGCGTCGGGTGAAGAGCGACTTCGAAATCATTAAAAACAAACGAACGTGCAACTATTGAGTTGTATATTACGCGTTTATAAATTGTTTACAACGATACGGTTATCGGGTGCTAATAAAATAAATTCCAAAAACGAATCATTTTTATAGGTACGTACATTTATCGTTTTATGCGTTGCTAAAGTGTATTGATGGTATACAATAATTTAAATGATTAATTTTCGAATTTAAAATTATGCTAATTGTATTTTATATTCCAACATAGTGTGGTCATTTTCGATAAAATCTATTTGAAATTTAAAAGTTTTAATATTTTTATTAGTATAATTTGGTATACTTATAGTAATGAGTAATAACCAATTATATATTAAATATTATATTTTCATTATTGAACGAAATATCACAATGGTACAGATATTAGTTATTAACATGCATACGTTTGTTTCGTTAGCAGTAAACATATTACTGAAAGTTTTAATATTATATCTATTCCAATTAATATTTTTGAAATTAACAGGATAACTTGAGTTATTTATTTATTTTTTTTTAACATTAAAAAACATCGATAATATTTATTAATTTTATGATTATCAGTATTTGTGCATAAAGTTTAAAAAAATTGAAATTTTGTATTTTCTAAAGTATTACGTCTTGCACGAAAAAATTATTACCCTATTTATAATTTATATATATATATTTGTGTGAGTGTGTGTTTTAAAATTTGCATAATCTTAATTATTATTATCATATTGTATAGTTTGTTTTTATTTTCTGTTTGATAAGACGCCTCCGTGAGTTGGCCACCCTTGGATTTGTCGGACGGGAGTTAGATATATTTTGGCCAGGAGATCCGTCGTGACGCTCCAGTACGCTACGGGCGGCATTCGTTCGAAGTCGCTATACAAACACACTCTACCCGCCCCACTTACAGATTGGCATTGGCGCTGACCACTCTCCATTGTCCCCACAAACGAGCTTGGGCTGACCGTCCAACACGTAGTACGGTTCGCAGCTGATGGACACGTGTTCGCCAGGCCTGTATGAGTTTTGCGAGACGGCCGCGTAACCGTGCGGCGGGTCCCCTGGCCAGGGACAAGTGACCGCTACAACATATCAATTACACTTAGGGCCCAAGATCAAAACGGGATGATTGGTGAAGGGAATGGTTGTAATGGCGGGGAGGGGATCAGTTTTTCGAAGTCACTGAGTACCCGCAAAAACGCGATAGCCTCCCCTAATTTTGCAATAGTTATAATAATAATAATAATAATAATAATAATAATAACGTATCGTGTTAAATTTGTAATATACCTGCACATGTAGGGAACGGCTGTTCCCATTCACCCGTTGGCAGACACGTCGAATGTGTTGGCCCGTCGAGTCCGAATCCTTGCATACAGCTGAACATTATTTCACCCCCCACTTGACGACTGAGCGTAGCTATTCGTAAATTTGGGTCGGTTAGGTTATCGATCTTTTCACACTCGATGACTATTGAAAAAAAATAAAACGGAAAATACGACGATAAGGTTATAAGAATATTTTCCGGCAATCCATTATGTAAATATTACGTAGTTTTTAACATTTTATAACATATTATTACATTTTATATTATGTAAAAAGTTTTCTTTTTTCTTTTTAACCATATATATATATAGTTATATGACATCTATAATAATTGATGAACTTACTCTCGCATGTGGGGATTGGATCGCTCCAGTTACCCGAAGGCAAACAAACGATTTCAGTGGTCCCGATCAAATTGTTGCCTCTAGCGCAAGAAAACTTTACGCGAGAGTTTAGTTTTGTGTTTTGCGAACCAATGATCAAACTTCGTTTCGACGGGATAGAAGGACAGTGCACGGCTATATTCATTTAATACACAATATTAAATTTTATTTATAAGACAGTCATAAATATTGTTACTGTTATTAAATACTCGTAACTATTATCATTTCAGTGTTACGTGAATTGAAATAAAGTATTTTTCTAAATTCAAACCTTTTACGATTATTTCAACAGAATGAGTGTGCCTGGTAGGAGTGATGCAAGAAAACAGCCCGGAGTCGTCTCTACTCGCGTGATATATACTCAACCTGTATTCGAGATCCGGGTCTCGGCCGGGGTCGGTGGTCCATCCCTCGGGATACTTTCTATAACACCAACACAGACGTAATGAAATTATGTACTCAAATCAAATAACGTATAATGATGCACTTTACCGGAACGAATGACTGACGTTCCATTTCGGAGTGCCGAATCGTTTGATCCACAAACACTCCATGTGCAATATAGTTCCTGGGTAAACGACTAGTCGTCCCTCGTTACTCTGTGCTATTGGTCCTAGTTGATGGCGAAACAGTATTGTTGGAGGTTTTTCCACTTTAAACGGTACACGGTACAAACACATTAATATAGACAACTTTTAAGTTTTGTTATATTTTACAAATAAAATAACATATCAATATTTTACCGAAATCATTTTAATTATTCATAATTATTAGAAAACATTATCGTAATAATATTGATAATATTATTATTATTATTATATTTATTTTTATAGTCTATAAAAGATATTATTAGATTTTAACTTAAATAATATTTTCTATCTAAACATTATTATTTATAATTGTATATATTATATACGATATATTATAATACACCCGTATTGTTGATAATATTTTTATAAATTAAATTATTTTTCTTATTAAAATTAATTTTAGAAGCATTAGTTTAAATTAAAAATAGTAAAAGCTTAATAGTTTAATATTAAAAATTAAGTCTTCGGCATATGAGGCATTGTTATCAAAATAATAATAAAATAAATTCAAAATTTATTGAAGGAAAATTTTAAGAAGTGTACAATAAAAAGTAAAATGGATATTGAATTAAAAAATAATGATAAGCTCGTATAGGTAATAAATATATTAGTATAACATACGTGCATAATCGTTTTCTTGGTTAAGCCCAAAGCAAACTGGACGTTGTCCGGACCATTCACCATTCGAACATACTCGCCTGTTGGATCCTTCCATTGCATATTTTCCAATGTCTGAACATCGAGATACCTAAAATAAGTGTACCACAAAATTCAACTTACATACGGGTGATAAATAACGTGAGTTATAAAAATATTATTATTTTTATTATTTTTTTCATTATATAAGTGGTAAATTACCAAAACCGTTCCTGCATTAAACTCAGTTAATTCGTTCGTGATCATCGTGTCACCTATAAACGTCACCACGTTAGGCTCGCTGTTTCGAAACATACAAGTGGTGTTGTCTAAAGTGGAATTCATAGTTTCAACGGGTTTCGCTGAAATTTACCGTCAATATACATTATATATACACGCTTACGATTAAATACTATGCTAAGCAACTTACTGCAATTTAATGATCGACCAATCCAGTTACCGTCCTCACATCGTATTCTCCATGTGACCTTTTCGTCTATTATGTTTCCGATGCAATTAAATGTTACTTCTGTTCCATCGGGGAAACTAAAATGAAACATAATTTATCGTGGATCAAAAACAAATATTGCATGTAATTTTAATTTGCAAGTACTAACCTTTTTTCTGCGTCTTTTAATAATTCTCCATTTCTAAACACCATTGATCCGTGGACCGATTCTGGGGGCCCGCAAGATCCTCGAAGTCCAGACAAAAGATCAATGGTGCCTAATTCGCTTTTTTTCAAAATATCCGCACCGGTAATGAATAATCCGCCATCTAGAAATAAATTTGTGAAACCATTGATTTTTGTTTTTTATTATTTACAGATTTATCATTCAATAAATTATATCTTATAATATGTTTTGTTTAGAAATAAATTGTAAATAAAATTACCTCTTTTACAGGAAGGAACTTTGGGAACTAATCGACCTAATACACATTCAATAGAAACTGATGTAGTTTTTATGAACTCTGGATCGCATTGGAAGGTAACGAATGATCCATTCGCTATCGTAAGACCTGCTCGATATCCAAGTAAGTATTGTCCATGTGTTATACCCGGCAACTCGCATGGAGCTAAAATCATACGTTTAATGAGATGATTCAAATACATTTTTAAAATATAAATTATGTAATTATAATTTATTATCTATATCCACCAGTTAAAATTTTCTTTTTTAATACTAATCAATAATCTCGAACTCCAAGTATGAATCTCATTAATATTGATCTCTATAATTATTTATGTTTAATCCTATTATACCTAAAACATCAAACATAACTCTGTATTTAATTCAAATAAATAATTATATTACCAGGAGTACATTCAGAAATAGTTCCAATATCCCAGTCGCCTTTTCTACATTCCATTCTAGAAGGGCCTTTCAAATTAAACCCAGGAAAACATGTAATAGTTACGACTTCACCATCCATAAACTCTGAACTTTCAGTTACATTTAAATACGTGGGTTCCACTTTACTGTAAAAACCATTAGCTGAGTATGGTATTAAACAAGGTTCTGTAAATAAAATATTAAAATAGTTATAAACTATACAGATTTCATGAAAAAGTAAATTTATTTTACTAAGTTTGCAGTCGGGTTTTGCTGGCTTCCATCGAGTTCTCCAGCATTTGGCTGTTCCATTTGCCACGTTAGGTTGGTAACCATGATCACACGTAACTTTTAATAAAGTTCCATGTGAATGAGTTACATTTACGTGCCTCCCTGGCCTCACTATTTCAATATGTATATTGGAGCTATTTTTTAGAGGTTCGCAAGGACCAACTATGAATCAAAACAAAAAAAGCATGTATACTGTACATCGATAGAATATAATTAGTATAGCACTCGAATTAAATAATATAAAAAGTTAAATAATACTTTAATGAAAAGTAACAAAAATTTTCTTAAAAAAATTATAAATTTTACCAGTTATAATTTTTTTTTATTCAATAAAAATATTGCATAAATAAATACATATTAGGTATATACCTACATTTTCGGAACAAATGGTAAGAATAACGAGGCATTATTACATTAGAAATACTCTGTAGGTATAAATAAAATATATTATCGAAAAAAAATAATATAATACATTCATCATTTTATTTTATATTAAAAATTGTATTTGAATTGTTGAACGGCATATTCTAAATGCTATTCTACTACTAAAAATATTACAGAACCTAAGGTATATGAACACGATGTAGCATTTATTAAATTTTGGCAATTGATCAATGAAGTTAACTGTAGTATAGAGAATATAAAATGTTATCAATATAATTAACAAAACAATATTGACATTAGATAATTTGAAAATAAATTTCTCGTGTTAATATTATATGAAATAAAATACTTTAAAAAAAAAAAATTATAGAAAACTTTTGCATAATGTGCATTTTAAATGATAATTAATATACTATAAATAACATTTTAAATATTAAATTATCTGTTATATAAATCACGTTCTTTACTAAGAAAGCATTGTTCAATCAAAATAATTAAAAAATGCGTTTTAGTCGTGGTTCAAATAATGACAACAATATATATTTTTATCTATACAATTGAATATAAAACCTACCTTTTCGTTTTCCATGTTTGCCTTTTCCTTTAGAACCTTTGTGCGGTGCTTTTTCTCCATCTATTGTAGAATTACCATCTTCAGTGTCATAATCTTTGAAAGATAAATCCCCAGATTCCCGACCTCTAGATCCTCTATTTACTCCAGGATTTTTAGCTGTTTGATCTTTATTAGATGTTTGTTTGGCTTTCATAACTTGTTGATTTTGTGCTGATAATGCACGTTTACTTCTTTTCCACCAAGCTTTTATAGAGCTTATTAAATTAACGATTCGATAAGAACCTGGTTTTTCTGTAATCAGTTCATTTGTATTATTTTCAGTACTATTCTTTATAGATCTACTGAGCCTGAGTTTCGGATGTATTGACGGTACGCATCTAAAAATAAAAATATTACACACGTTTATTTTGAAATAATAATTGTACGTGAAAATATCGTTTCTAAGTATTTTTTTCTAAGATTATGACAATATTATGATTATTATAATTTTACTTCGGTAGATATCCGGGACTCCATTTTCCTCCGATACAGGTTGCACCCACAGGTCCTGATTCGATTACATATTCTCGATCGCATTCAAACGAGATTTGCTTGTTGTTTTTTATCTTACGAACATATGGTCTATAGTCATAAACACCCATACTTCCCACTAATAAAACTTTACCGTTTTCTATATAACCAGGAAAAGTGCAATAAACTGAAAAAATAAAAGTAATTCACTGTCTAATTCTAGAAATTAATGAACAGTCATAAATTAATTAAATATTAAATACCTTCGTCGCATTTTGGAGTTTCTCCGGACCAATTTCCGTACCGGCATTCTGTGTATCGGTCCCCCACTAGTGCGTAGCCATCTCGACAAGAAAACTTTGCTTTGGCACCATGACCCATTCGTGGTGCCAGAACTATGCCGTTTTTTGGAATCAGTGGTAGACGTTTGCAATGTGCTGAAAAATGAATTAAAATTTTTTAATGAGCTCAATAATTATTGTAGTTCTCTCATTTTATAGTTAAATTTTCTAAGTATCACTAATATCAAAATATAAATATAAATTTATTATACTATTGCAAGTCAGATTTGATATTTCCGAAGTCTTTAGATAAAGATAGGTAAAATGCGATAAAGTGTGAGTTTATAAATTGCATACAAAATGTTTATTAAACGGTTAATACTATAAACATGGCCATAATATTGGTAACTACTTACCTAATGAATGCAAACACACAAATAATTAATATTATTTAGTAATTTTTAAGTTGGTTTTTAAATAAAAATATTTAAAACTATATAACAGGTGGGTTTTAATTTTACCAAATAATTATCCTAGGAAACGCAGACATTTAAAGAAGGAGTAAATTGAAAATAAATTTTATAAAATCGTTCGAAACTCTAGATGAATCGGACTACCTTTTTTTTTTTTTTTTAAGTATAAAAAACATACACTATGAAAAAAAATCTGTTAGAATCAATTTAGAACTAATTAATTTAAATATGTAAGTGTAAGCAAAATTAAAACAATAATAAAAATATTATAATATGCCTTGCCTGGTTCGCATTTCGGTATGTAAGTCCATGTACCATTATTACACGTAGCAAGATCGTTGTTCCCAACAGCTGGCTCATATTTTGCGTTGCACTTTACAGACAGTTTGTCACCGTGTTTTGCTAAAATAGAACCACTAGTTGTTTTCGGTGTATAAGGAGTAGAATCGTTCGATCGAGTGATATTCACATAACCTTGTTGGATAACCGGCACGACACATGGAGCTGTAATGCACATTTACCCATTATAAAATTACTTTTTTTTTTAAATATATTCGCAATAGGAAATATTATTAGAAAAAATAATACATTTTTGTCGTTAATTATATACATCAATGACAGTCGTTATGATATAAATAAAAATTATTTTTAAGTGACCATGTCGGCTGTCAAAGTAAACTCACCTAGACATAGCGGTGGTGGATAACGCCACTGTCCATCGGCAAGGCACACTGTCGAAGAATTCCCTACAAGAAGCATTCCGTCTTGACATCGGTAAATAATCGTTGTGCCTAGACCAGTGCCGCTTTCAGTGTTCTCTAGCCAACCATTATGAAGCTCTCCCGGAGATCCGCAATCTATCTCTATCGTTACATTTTTATTGTTTTGGGTGGATTCAAAAAAAAAACAAAAACTAAAAAAACTAAAAAGGTATACACCCAAATCAATGCCAATCAGATCTATTAGGGTTTCCCCAGTTTCAATAGTATACGAATAGCTTATGATAATAACACTTCTGCGTTATATACGAGTAATTTATGTTCTTATTGATATAATACGAACGTCGAACAGTTATATTTTTTAAATAATTATGTCAGTATCTTTTAATTTATGCTAAGCAAATAAAACCAGTTTACAACTAATAATCATCAGCGACGATGGTAAATATAAAAATCTTATGAACAATAATCGTTGTATACTGTTATACGCCTATATCCATAATGTTATGAAAAACGTAAATTTAGAAAAAAATATTAAACGATATTCTGGCTTTCAATTTTAAAATTTGATATATTGTGTATTATATTATGTCCTTCAAAGAAACAAAACTATCTCTTATTGAGTTCTTGAGTTTTGTTTATATTCAAAATCCGTTGTTGAAAATAATTAAAATTTTAATTCACTTATAAAAGCGAAATTATAAATCTAAATTATCGTTTTGGTATCTATACATTATGTTACTATGTTAAATATCTGATGATAAAGATTAATTTTTGGAAAATTAAATTTAAATTCCTACACTAAATCGTTTACTATGCAGTTCTTTTCTGAGCCCACCTTTAAATTCTCAATTTTGCATTTACCTTGACATATTGGCGTTGTGCCTGACCACTTGCCATCTGCACCGCACCTCCTAGTCGGCTCACCGGATAGTATATATCCGTATTTACATTCGTATGATACTACCGAATTGTAGGACGTAGACGTGAATACCGCGTTTCCGTTGAACGGACTTTCGGGAGGACCGCAGTCAACCGCTGAAACCACAACACACGCGAAAACAACGCCAAACAGTAACTGAACGTAAATTCACCCATAAGTTATGTTTGCGAAACACCTCGATAGGTATGGTCAAACATTAACCAGTCAAAACTACGCACACACATATATACGTATACACCATACACGTATATATATTTATGTACCTGCACGTTATATTACCGTGGTCCGTGACTGTTATTATTACGACAGGTAACTAACCTGAATAGTACATACTATAGTAGTTTCAATATTTTGCTAACAAACGCAGATTGAGTTAAAGTCACTACACCGGATTTAGAGAATATATTATGTCACTAAAATTTCATCTAACTCGGACCCCCCCTCCCACTCATCATAATAGTGTTTCATTTGATGACAAACAAATATAGCCAGCGTTAAGTATGGTCAGAATAGGCGTGAAAAAAACTAATTATTGTTTTACTGTTTTGAATTTTGATATTTTATTAGACAAAAAACAACGGGTATCTATACCAACAAACAATTTAATGATATAACGTTTTCATTTTTATGATATTATACGGTTTAAGTGTACTCGAATAACGTTGCCGAATATCGAATCAAGAGCATGAGAACATCGTTTTATAGGCATAGTGAACTTTAAGAAGATAAAAACACTCATAACGGTTTACCGTAGGAAATCGTCACAGGTCGGCAGAGAACGACCACGCGAACTCGGCATTGAAGTACTTACGCACACACGAGGGTAAATCTTTTGGTACCCAATATCCGTCCGAATGACAGAGACGTTCCGATTTTCCAATTAGTTCGTAACCGTTCAAACACTTGTAGAATACACGGCAGCCGAAGTCTGAACAGTCGCCTTGATGCCAACCGTTTGGAATTACACCAGGAGAGCCACAAGTTCTCGCTGAAAGTATAATAGTGTATGTATAATAAGTTTATTTTACATTGGAGATACCATCAAAACAAAAAAAATGACTTCCGTTCAAATAATTTATAATTAACAATAATTAGTCAACTACACGAATTCGATTTAAATATATATTATATATATATAATGTATTTTAAATAATATCGTAAAATACATACATTTGTGCATACTTTTTTAAACCATACAATATAGGTACATACATACATACATATTTTTTTCGCGTACCTATTAGTCATTTTTTTTTTTTCAATCGCTTATTAGAAACAATCGGTTAATTGACACAATTCACCTTGGTCCCAAAGTGTTTCTAATAAGCGGCTTTTACTGTATGTATATATATATATATACATACGTATTACGTATACATAGAATACAGACCGCTATACAAATAATTTATTAATGCAATGTTATATTGTAAGCCAAGTAAAACTCATAAGTATTAATTATTGACCTATATATGAATATGCTGTGCGCTAGCGTATACTAGTGTATAACATGATAAATTGCATCATTAAGATGCATTATAGTATACATTTAATTATATATGTATAGGAAATTCATTTTATCGAATCAAACTCATTATTTAGAAATCTATTATGCTTTTGAAAATACTTTTTTACATAATTTCCAGTAGAAATAAAACAATATTTTTTTAATATTTTAATCGTTATAATTTTTTAAATTTTGAATGACAACCTGCATTTTTAGCAGAATATTTTTGAAGTATTTTGATATATAAAAATCAAAATCTGGATGAGTATTTTATGAGTTTTAAACATTTAGATTTTAGGCGAACGGGGTGTAAAGGTACAGAAAAATCCTGTGAAATATTACTCAACTTCCGTGAATTTTAAATAATTATAAATCATAAATTATTTGACTCAACATTTGTTTTGTTTGATGTATTGTATATTTGACCTTGTAAAACAATTATTTTTGAAAATTATGCGATATTACAATAATATTAATTAGTTAAATTTGAACATACAACAATAAAACGATGAAACTGTATGGTTGTACAAGAATAAAAAAAAGGGAAGTTATTGTTTGGTTGCTATAGCAGGAGAAAACATATGTTTAATATTTAAGGGGATGTATGAGAAGAGTGAAATATAATAATAACTAATAAGTATAAACATAATATAAACAGTAAACACATAATAATAATAATTTTAAACAGTTTAGGAGTAGAATATTGTTGTTTGCGAAATTATTGAATGTCATAAAGAAAGCATCATTAATTTAAGTAAAATGTGTTATATTTGTGATATCACGCATATAATATAAAATAATTATATTCACGTAGATTATAAGAATTTCGTGTTTAGCAATTGTTTAATAGTTTGAGCATCCGAAGCTCAAAAATAATAGCAATGTATGTGACATCGATGTAATAATATAGGTACCTAATATATATTATTAGTATGATAAAAAATATCAAAAATGTGTATTTCCTATTTAAGCACATAATGTAATTGGTATAATGGAGAAAATATATTTAATTAAAATAATAAGTTATACTAATTTATTGTTATTTAATATTTGTTATATTGAGGTTGTTTCAAACTTTCAGTACTTTAAAATACTAAACAAGTATATTTCAACAATTAAAAATAAAAACATTTCCTAAAGTGTTTTGGATAACATTTGTATCATATTAAATAAAGCACTTAATAGGTGATAAATGTATTTTTTTTGGTTTTCCAAATATTTATGTATTATACATCTGTAATATATATCGTATATATTTTTTAATAAGTTTAAGTGATATATAAAAGTAGTAATGGCTGTAGTCACGAGGGAAAAATACATTCAGTGATAGAACTTCACGGTAATGGACAATGGTTTTTAGTTGTTTAGGAGGTCCCAGCACCATTTACATTTCAAACGTCTTCTGGGACCACCTGAGATGTTAAGAATAGATAAATTTGAGATTAGGATATTGCGATGGTTGGATAGATTAAAGTGGAAGTGTTTAAAGGGAGTTTTGAGCTTTGGCTACATGTTGTGATGTTAAAAATTTAGAATGGAGAGATCAATATGAAGTGTATTATTTGAGACATACAAGAGATCTTTAGTTATTTGTCGGATACATTTAGATTCAAATATTTACATTTTTTTTTTTTATATATTTGATAGCTGAACCCTAAAGTTGAATACCGTATAACCATATTGTTTTAAATAAAAGTTTATACAAGATTATTTAATTTTTAATTTGATTTGTCTAGAAGTTTGGCAAAACTTTTAGAGTATTAGCTAACAGGATTGGTTGTTTAGTAAAATTCGTTTGATATAGAAATGGAAAGCCCAAGTCATTCGACGGTCCAGGTAAAGGCCTAGATAACGAATATTTTGTGTGGAAGGGATAGTTAGATTATTGAGGGTTATGGTAAGACAGTGTTTTGGTCTAAATGTAAATGTACAATGTGTGGATTTAGATTAATTTGTTTTGATTCCCCATTCTTTGTACTAGGTTTTAACAAGTTCAGGTGTGATTGGATTAAGTTTGATGCTATTTCAGGTTTTGAGTGAAGCGCTAAGCTTTGTTGTTTGCAAAGTCACTTATAATATCATAATCAGTAATAGGTTGATCTGAGGTGTATAAATTGAAGAAAAGTGGGGCTGCATAGCACCCCGAGGAATTTCCGTGTGGATACGATTCATTTAAAACACAGCCGAACTAGAGCGTACAACGAAATTCCCCCTTAAAAAAGTTAAGATTTGAATAATGGGTAATAGTATGCGACTGGAAGATAATAAATTTATTTAAAAATAATTTTTGTAACTAAAACAACCAACTTTTCCTACAAATAAATAATTGTAAAAGCTATTAAATAGATAGCCTTGAACATTTAATCTAATTTTTATTTTTAACATTGAAATATTTGCTTTATCGTTAAAACAAGAGTTACAAAACTTTTAAGTCATACAAAAGAGTATAATATAAAAGCAAATAACATTATCCTTTTATTTTTTTAAACATTGATTTAAAAAAATGTATTTCAATAGTAATATTTAAGTATATAATTTCATATTTATTGCTAGAATCATTAAAACTTGATTTTTATATTTATAATACAACTCTATAGGGTTTATTTATTTTCTAATGCTTTACAAAAAATTAGTACCTATAAAGGTTTTTTTAAAGAACTTGAAAAAAATAATTTTGGTTCAAATATCGTGTATGAATACATCAAAACTAAAATATTTCGAGAAAATTGGAATAAATTGTGTTAAAATGGGTCAGTTTTTGATAATCTTGTAATATATTTAAAAAACTAGGTGGTATTAGATTTGTACATAACAATATGAATAAAATAATACCCTAAATGCGTGAAAGATATGTGCAGTCATTTTATTTTAGACACATAATTACTATAAATTATAAAATAAACTATAATATATACAGTTAAAACAAAGGTTTAAAACTTACGTTCACATGTTATATCTGGTCCAAACCACGAAGCTGATATATCCATTGCCAAACATTTAGCTTTGGCGAAACCTCTCATCGTAAATCCGTCTTTACATCGGTACTCAACTTCAGATCCGACGTCAAATGTTTGCTGATCCGGAAAAGCATTGTTACCTGCATTTTCGATTACACGAGGAGATTTGCAAAACACTGTAAAATACAAATAACACAAGCAATTAAATTTAAATTATTTTATCGATTTATCTGTTTTATGTATTGTTAAATAACGTGAAAAGAGTTTTTAATGACTAGACTATAATTTCTATTATTTTAATGTATAGCTACATCGAATATAATATTTGTGTTAAGATACTTGACTTATTTGACTAGCCTCGTTAAAAATAGACATATAAAGAGACGAGGAACTTTTTTCAAGTGTAAATAGAAATGATCAGTCTATTATAATATAGTGTATAATATTATTCATAATATATTAATAACCAGCGCTCGAGTATTAAATGACTTAAAATTATCTATTTAAATATGGTTTAAAAATACATTTTTTTTTTAGAGGTATGTATTATGCAAAAAAATACTAATTACATTGTCATTTGTTAATTTCCTGATAAATCGGCAAAACATAAATTACTAAAAATATGTGGAATTAAATGTATTAAAATTCATTTAATAATAAAAATAATTTTTATCCTACTCCTACGCTTATATAATTATATTGGTGTGTAGATTCCATTGAAATATGTAAAAATCAAATGCACAGTCCTTGACTAATCACTATCGACAATATTAATTACCTATACTGGGTAATTTTTTTATTGAACAACATTCATTTTATCAAAATCTATTAATGTTTTTGAAAATATTTTTTACATATTTATAATCAAAATAAAATAACATTTAAAAAAATATATATATTTAAATTTTTTTTTTTTAAATGTTGTTTTATTTCGACTAGAAAATTTGTAAAATAAATATTTTTAGAAAATAATGTAGTAGATTTTGAAATAATGAGTGTTATTTGATAAAACAATTACCTATATAACCGTTAATTAAGTGAAAAGTATTCAAACAATAAATATTGATTTATATAAAAAATATTGAATTAAATTGATCTCAATAATTTAAATTAGTAACGTATTACATATAGTAATTTCTGCTACTTAATTAATAAATGCACCAAATAATTCATATTTTGATACACCAAGAAACATGTTTTATAATAAATGTCATTTAAATTATGTATATAGTTCTAAGTTAATGTATTTATGTAATAATACTATTGGTTGAAATTCACACATCTCATATTATATCATATTTTATTTATATAAGAGTAAAATCAATCCAGGGACAATTGACATTAATATTTTAATGTGTTAATTTATTATATTCTAGTTAGTTGTTAGAAATTAATATTATGAAGTATGATAGTAAACTAATAACAAAGTGACTAAATAAAATGACTCATTTATGGTTAATTGAAGATCCTCGTGTATACCTAAATAAAATAATCATATAAAATATAGGTACTAACCACTTTGTTTGCAGAAAGGTGCTACACCAGACCACGAGCCGGTGGCGTGGCAAATTCTGTGGTCTCTGCCAATCAACTGATATCCAATCTCGCAACTGTAAGTAGCTTTGTCACTAAATAGTCTTCCGGTCATTTGTACAACGCCGTGTTCCGGATTCGGCAATTCGTCGCATTCTCTCTCTGTAGATAAAACAGGAGGTTAATTCAACATATATTGAGAGTTAGTGTAACTCAAGCAAAGTAAAGAATGACGTGTGTCATATCAACTGCTCCAAAAATTAAAAATAGCTTTGCGAAAAAATGATAAACTTTCTGTTAACTGTTTTATTACAGCAAGGCTATTGTTTAATATTCTGTCAATAAAAATTATTTACGGCCCAAAAAGTTTACTTATTTATACATTTTTTTTTTTTATCGCGTATAGAGTCTAATGTATTATGTGCAAACTATGAGCGAATACAATAATCCAAAATACCTACTGTTAGATTAAAAATGCAAAACTGTCGTGAATTACCAACTTTAATACATTAATTCGGCTATAATAACTGATAAAATAATAATATATTTGTGTCAAAAATAAAAATACATCTAGTCGGTATTTCTCAATATTTAAAAATAGATTAAACTTATTTTTTATGTTGGTAATACACATGCATCTATTTTTAGCGAATTTATCTAGATTGTTATGATAAAATACAAATATTTTACTTATTTTTTAGAAGTAAATATTAAAAAAATCCGATTAAAGAAAACATTACTATATTATATTTAAGATATGAAAACTTATTATAGCACACAAAATGAGAGGGTATGTTTTTTGTATAGATTTTTTTTTCTATTTGAGTATTTTCATAAAAAAAAAAAAGATAAAATAAATGTTCAAATGTATGGGACTGCAAATAAAAATAAAAATAAACTCTCATCGTGAACATAATGATAAGTGGTTTTGAGCATTATAGGTACTCAGTATTTACTCATTATCAATTTTTAACTGTGTTCTTAGTTTTACAAAAATACCATTAATATGAATAAAAATATTGAGTGTTTCGGTTTTATATAATTATATTCAGAATTAAGTATACATTAATATGTAGTAAAGATAGTCAAGAAGGTTTATCTCTCACTTCACGTGACATTTTAGTTGCCCTATTATTCATACTTGAAAGCCAGACATACTTTGATTTTTTTTTTTTTTTTTTTGCCAGCTTTTATTAAAAGTATCCAATCTGAAATAATATCCTGTGTACACTATACTGATAATATATTAAAATATTATACAGTATAATATAATATATTATTAAATACATTTTAGACTATTTATCTTGAATGCATATCCATATTCAAAATTTAGAAATTAAGTATATAAATATGGTTTTAAAATAAAATTGTTTCTACAATTTGAAACTAGTGTAGTTTAAGACTTGTAATTCAAAGTTATATAAACCTTTGCATAACACAACATCAGATATAACAATAACAACTGAAAAATAGTTTTTATTTAAATATTTCAATGTTAACTTATAAATTCTAAAAAAAAATAATGTTCTAAAGAATATCTAATAACTTTTTTAGTTATTTAATATAGAATAAGAACGATTACATAAAGACATTATCGCAAGATGATAATAACTTCCATTAAACATTCTCAGTATACATTAAACACCTTTTCAAAGTATTCTTACAGTACTTGGAAAAAAAGCGTAAACAAATTTGAAACAATTAATTTGAAATCTAAAGAAACAACAACCTTACACAACTCACAAATATTAATGAAAACAATAACAAATGGTTTGTCGATAATTGAAGTTTCCGAGAACAATAATTCATACATTTTTTTCCATTAAGTTTTTCTCGTTATTAAATTAACTATATACTCCATCAACTTTATAATAAAAGCACAAGTAAAATACATTATAGTTTATAAACTAAAGATTAAAAATTAAAAATAAACTAATTTATAAATTAAAAATATAATACACTTCAAAGATGCATATTTTAAACTTATCTTATCTAACTCATGACATGAACTGTCTTAAATTATTAAAATAAGTTAAAAAATATTAAATATTCTTTTGAAAAAAAAGTGTATTCCTTACAATAGTAAGAATATGGAAATACGAGATTCAATGGAATAATAATGTTAAACAATTCTTAGATCAAATTTAAATACTGCACACATAATAATAGACATTTTTTATTATACCAAAGTTAATATATATTCATAATACATATGATACACAGGAAGTTAACTAAATATACTCACCCCTATATTTATTTTATATAATTAATTATTTTTATTTTTAAAAGATAACTATCATTTTTTCTTATAAACTGTTAACCGGAGGTCTTTCTCATATGCCGTATAAACGATTTTCGTACGTTAAAATTGCCCATACGCCAATAAAGTGTCAATACAAAGCCTTACAGAAATTTGTGTTTTTTTCTATACTATTCATACGACATACTAAATTGAATCCTCAGATGAACTTATCATTCAAAAGGTTTTAATTTTTAATTTATTTGATTTTGTTTACTAAAAACAATAGGTGCATCTTCTATGAACTAAGTTTAAAAGATAATAAATGTGGACTTTATGATATAAAAAATAAGTACATAATTAATAAGTTTCACTATTTTTGAAAGTAATTAGAAAATAATTTTTTCAAAAGCTTTTTGAGTAAAACTTGTGAAAAAATCTTTGGCAGTCAGGACAAATTATGGTAAGCTCTCAATTTAAATATCATGGCGGTCAAAATGTTAATATTAATTTATCAATATCTTATAGTTAATAAATTTTAACCGAGTATATTTAAACAATACTAGATCCCATATTACATCTGTTTTATATTCTGTAATAATATTACATAATTATTTTTAACAACCATTATCCTTAGTGTATACATTTTAATAACTCAAAAATTACTCGTTAAAATTTTGTTTTTGATACTTTGAAATTCTTTGAAAAATTATCTACTTAACTATATAGATTAAAAAGGGATTGGTTTCCATTAAAAAAATATGTTTGTATCATTACAGTACACCACTTAAATGGAACATAAAATCTTAATCGTCCTTGCAGTGAACACTTAACAATTTCAAAAAATCCGAATTTAACATCATTAAAGAAAAAATAAAGGTGAGTAAATTTGGTAAAATGATAAATCACCATGTATAATATAATAATAATATTATTAGAATAAACCAAGCGTGGTGTGAGTTGATTTAAAATGATAAATTAAGCAATTGTCTTAAAAAAAACAGTTGTGTATAATGAATTTCTTAAGACGATCAAGAAAAATATTAAAAATGATTTAATAGATATTGTACTTAATTGAAAAATAAATTATCTTTGAGTGCATTCTGGTGTTTGTACGGATGATTAACTTTGTCTTAATAGAATTATCCACGATTGAGCTAAAAATACGACGGTTTTTGAATAATTTTAGTTCTCAGAAATGCGCCATAATTTGCATTTCGTTTATACAAAACTTTAAGTTTAAAGTTGATTCTCTACATAAATACCGAGTGGAATTAATTAACAACAACCGATATTTAAATATATTAAAATTCCGTACACGCATATCGGGCGCGCATAGTTATCTGACATATTTCTGGAAGAGAAGAGGTCGTCGCTGTAAATATATATTTTTACGGAAATAAGTGTATTATCCTATTATCCGCAAGACCGCAAGCTGCGATTTTATGAATTAAAAGTATGTGGGGTAAACGGGGTAGTCAACAGTGACGATAAAACAATAGGAATATACTTACAACACGGTATTATTGTATTAATCAAAACCTTGAAAATAATGACGGCGGCGTAAAATAAGTTCACGCCAAGTTTCATGCAAAGATTAAGTTTAAATTTGCGTTATGCTGCGTCTCAGAGTTGTTTTTATTATTATTGTTTGTTATTCTCTGAATCAAATCGAAAACAAAACTATTATACTAAAACAATTGACAATTAACAAAAAAAAAAAAATCACACACGTATATATTAATGGATACGAATGTGTGCGCATCATTTTTTTTTCGTTTTAAAGGTTTTTCCGGTAATAGGAAAAACAATAGTACCTAATTATAACAGTATTATAGTGTGCGTATTATATTGATACACCGTCTAATACGATGTTATGTGTATTAATTATAGTTTCTATTATATTTATTTTCCTACTCGAAATTTTAAAGTTGTATAAGTTCTTGAAACGTAACCCCTTCTTTATTACACCGCGGCGACCACTTTAAATTAGTAAATACTCCAGAGACATGCATGTGCACACACACACACACATTACACACAAATTTATTTTTCCGTCTATGCATGTCATGTATGAAGTTATATATACCATTGAAGTATCATAGGTGTTGAAAATTAAGCAGCCAGGGTTCATTGTCACCGGTCAATTTTTTCTCGAATTATCTGGTAAAATTTTTTAAATATTTTAATATCGACACATTTAAAAACCCACTTCCCTACCAAAACCCAAGAACGTTTCCAAGGGAGTGTCGAAGTAAAAATTGATCTTTTCTTTCCATATACATTGCAGTTTTATTTTCAAGGTTCATATATTTGTTTAAGGTTGATTTTACTGTAATTGAACTACAGTTTTTAATTCTAATAATAATAAAAATAGTATTATAAATAAAAATTATATATCATACAATATTATACAGGAACTAATTACTAATATAAATTCTTACATTTTAATACATTTATATACCTATATAATTTATTTATTTTAGTATATTTATATATTATTATACATCGTAGCATAACCTCTTAAGTCTTAAGACTTAAGGGAATGTCGTAATTTATAATAAGAAATGTAAAACTATAAATGCAAAGACAAAGTTTAAACTTTAAACCTGAAGTTTCCTTTCCTATACCCACTTTTTTAAAACGGTCCTAGGGTGGTTCATTATATATTTATATATCATTATACATTTTATTATATTATATTATACTGGTAAAATATTTAATTTCTTTCTTTCTATTTTTTGTAATTCTAATCAACCGGACCAAACTTCGTTAAAGTGAACAAACCATTTGCATATAAACAATTAGGTAAAAAGATGCAACAACAAGTTTGTGGTTCTCAATAAATCTCAATGTATTAATCATTAATATTTTGTTTCGAATTTTTAAATTGACCATCGGGTTTTCATAACAAATAGTTTTA